ACCTCCACCACCATCCCAAAGATGCTGGTGAACATCCAGACTCAGAACAAAGTCATAACCTATGAGGACTGCATCACACAGATTTATTTTTTCATACTCTTTGCTGTGATGGATGTCTTCCTCCTGAGTGTGATGGCCTATGACAGGTTTGTGGCCATCTGCCACCCCCTCCACTACACGATCATCATGAACCCCCAGCTTTGTGGGCTGTTGGTTCTGGTGTCCTGGATCATGTGTGTCCTGAATTCCCTGTTACAGAGTTTAATGATGTTGCGGCTCTCGTTCTGTACACAGGTAGAAATTCCCCACTTTTTCTGTGAACTCAATGAGATGCTCCAGCTTGCCTGTTCTGACACCTTTCTTAATAACGTGGTGATGTATCTTGCAGCTGTCCTGCTGGGTGGTGGTCCTTTTGCTGGGATCCTTTACTCTTATTCCAAGATAGTGTCCTCTATACGTGGGATTGCATCAGCTAAGGGCAAGTTCAAAACGTTTTCCACCTGTGCGTCTCACCTGTCGGTCGTGTGTTTATTTTACTGTACGATGCTTGGTGTGTACCTCAGCTCTGCTGCTACCCAGAGCTCCCACTCAAGTGCCACAGCCTCGGTGATGTACACGGTGGTCACGCCCATGCTGAACCCCTTCATCTACAGCCTGAGGAACAGAGACATAAAGAGTGCTCTGAAAAGAATTGTTGGGGTTCAAGTGATGTAATGGCCAACTGAACTGTCTTGGGGTTGGAGACGTGTCCATGATTGCAGGGCAGAGCCTCAGAACCAAGAACTGCTCTTCCTTGAATAGACTTTGGCAGGAGAATCTGCTCCTTCTGTTTTTCTCCTGGAATTTCCTCTTGTTTGCTTTCAACTTCTCTATACATTTAAGGAACTCACTTTATCAAGCTTCTGCTCTGTCTGACATAGTTTCCCCTTTGTCCATTTTCATATGTCCCCAATGTCTTCCCCAGCCTTAGAACATAAATGCCTGGAAATTTCTGTATCTAATGTGACAAGTTGGATTTCTTAAAAATAATTTCTTTTCAAATGACTTATCCCACGAGAAGTAAATCTCCCCTAGATTTTCCAAGAACATAATCACGAGTTATAGTCTTCATATGGAAAAAAGCTACACTTGGCCCCTAAGCCCTCTCCATAATTTTATTGTAGATGAATATACAAACCAAAGTTTTCACCTTGTGTCTGTCAATCTTTTTACATCACAACCTAAGCGTTCCTACTGATGATGTGGACTCTAACAGTGTTCCCTTTAAGCTTCTGGCTATTGACACCACAATGCTCTGGCTAGGAAAGCCCCGGCACCCATGCCCATGTGCTTGTGGACATTCCCAGACCTTATGCTGTGACTCACTGGCCCTCGGGTTCTTATTGTGATCAGAAGACACACCTCGGCACCTCCATCAGAGAACTCTAAAAAAGCAATGCCTATTACTCACAGATCCCAGAGGGCACATGGGATGACCAAAGGCCATTTGGAGAGGTCTGAGAAAGGGAGACAGAGATTGACA